AGATCTTGGCTTCCAGACAATTAGACAAATGGGAGCTATGGTCATAGAATATGATTTTGATTGTTTGTAAGATTAGTTAGAACCGAACCTGGAACAGTTAACAAACAGTGCTGTCATAAACCATGACATTTACGGTAACAACCTAGCTTAGGAAAAAGAAGCAAGGAAAAACAAAAGAAAAGGAGAAATTGACACGAAGATGAATAAAAAGTGCCTGCAGCTTTCATGCTCCAACGCTGATTTACGCTCTAAAACGATTTTGTTGAAATTCATGCGGAAATTCGTGGCACGATTCCACGGCTGCTTTTCCAAATAAAGTGAGTTTTATTTTGTAGTAAAGAGCAATGGCATAGAGAGATGCCACACTTGTTATTTCAGCTATGGGATACCTGCATTTTTGAAATTTACCTGTGCAAATGGGTCTAAACGCTCACAACCTCCGTGTTTTCCTCTTGCTGACAGCTGTACCAATACTAATTACAGCGGATGAACTGTTGGTGAGTACAGGTTGTAATGCACTGTTTCGTGTAGTCCTATTCGGTGTCATTTTTAGTTTTGAGGCATTCAAGCCATTAGCTGGCTTAAATAGTCAAAGTTTCAACTTTTTTTGTTGTTCTTTGCAAGCGACTTATAAAATATCACATATCTGTCTGAGTTTAGTAGTCATTTTCTTTAAATTTCGTTGTTGATGCGTCTATACTTCCCCGCATGCGGGCGGCGTTGATCCACGTGCTTTGAGCTAGGATCAGGGGGAAGTATGAACGCACCTGCGATGAATCCGGCAAATTCCTTAGTGTCATGTTGCTATACATTTTAATATGTTTTTTTGTCGTATTTCTCACCCACATATCGAGCAGGACCCTTTGGCAAAGTTTTCCTCATTTTTGTACCTGAGCCACCATTGCTTTAGGGCGAGTCACAGCTTTTGGTTTGTATTCACTAAATCTAAAGTCTTTCAAACTGTTTTTGAAAAGTGTGCTCTCTTGTAAATCTTTGTCCTTATTTAGGAGGATGAACTCTGTGATGTTGAAACCGGTTCTCCATGCTCTTCAGAAGAACATGAGGAGTGTAGACGGCAAAATGGCTCTGACAAGGTAATTACGCTAGTATTTGATTGGAATTGCCGACTAGATTTGCAGCTACGTTCTTCCAGTTGTTCGCAAAAAGTTGCAGCTAAAAAAAGTCCAAATTTCTTCCTTTTGTGGTTGAGTCTGGTTGCTCTAT